ATTAGCAACATCGTCCATGGGCCTTAATTCTTGTGGAAAAGTTTGCCCATGGGACAATGAATTACCAGATTTTTATCTATGGGCCAACATCAGCAAAGTAGTCTATGGGCAATCCCTACCTTGCCCATGGGCAATACACATTACCCATCCATCATCTGTAATCTATGTCAGTTTGCCCATGGGACATCCAGTAAAACTGCCAAATTAACCATGGGCAGACCATATTCACTCTGTCCATGGGCAGTAGCAAGTCATAAAACAATGGCCATGGTCCATCATAACTAACACATCAGTATGCCCATGGACCAAACCTCAGTTTTCAGGTACTGCCCACAGACAAGCACTTAGATTATATTGTCTCATAACAACAAGATTACTGACACATATGTCGAACCCAATGGTGCTTACAAGGAACAAGGGCCATGAGCAACACCTCACCCATAGACTGACATATTGCATTGGCATGTACTGCATACACTGCAACACTACATGGGTAAAGTCTAAAGGACAATAGCTCTCAAAGCACACCAACAAAATTACTGATGCACTCGACAAAAATATGGAACACCTCTTAATCAATTTAAGCTTACATTATATACATGTTTTAATTCAGCGGTTTCAGTTCAATGTGACCTAAATCTATTGATAAAAAATTTACATCGACTACTCTGAACTAAAATAAAACAGACTGCTACCGGTATTCATAAACCATCCTAGTCAAGCAAAATCCCATCTGAGGGTTAGCATCACATCGACAAAAAGTTTGACGAATCATACTCACATCATGAACTATTGTTGCTCAGCTTCATACTGCGAGGAAGAGTTGTCGAATCCATCATCCATCTGAATCTCGTCGGGCCAGGCGTTCCACTCATCCTGGTGATGCATGTTTGGGAGTCCTCGATGATAACGACTGGATCCCTGCATCAGCTCCTGTAAATACACGTAGTGATTATTTACTTACTGGTCTTCACGGATGTCATACATGGGATGTCCATCGGGCGGCGCATATCCCGACCCCGGATGTTGCGGATATCCGTAACCGTACGGGACAGGCGGCCCACCGTAAACGCTGTAAGGGCTGAACACCGGCGGAAACCCTTCATCTCTGCCGTAGTAACCAGGAGGAACCTGCGCGTGCGGATGTTGTCGGCCTTGAAGTTGACGAGCGGATGAGGGTCCTGGCCAGCCTCGAGGCTGTTGACCTGGTACGGCTTGCGACACCGGTTCTCTCATGTTCGTGCCCTCACGTTGGTGCGGAGGTGGGCCCGGTGGAGCGCGTGCGGGGGGGATTCGAGTGTCAGGAAAGCGGGCGGCGGGAGTAGAACGAGCAGAGGGGGGAGGACGAGTACCCAACGGTCCCCCACGAGTGGATGGGGCCCCTGCACGGGAGGACAGTGTCGTCATAGGCGGACGCCCTGCCTCGCGCGCAGCCCCATGGGTTAACGGGACCTTGCCCGATTGTCCCCGCGGCGGCCATGAGCCCCGTGCAGTCGTGGTAGCACCGGCAGATCGGGCCATGGACACAACGGGCACTGTGCGCGTAGAGGACGGCGGCATTGCCTCGCCTGGCTGCGGTGGAAGTGCAGGTCGACTTGGTGGCGCGCGCAGGGGTTGTTGGGCTGACCCGGGCGTGGGGTGAGATCTATTCGAGGGTTGAGAGGGGCGACCAGGCATTGATTGACGGGTGTGCAAGTGGTCAGTGTGGTCAGCGTAGGATGATTGAGAAGGCGCGCACCGAGACGGAGGAGGTACGGTGGCCGAATCAGGGCCCGCTCCTTGGTCGAGTTCGGCCGTTTCTGTTGTTTCAGGAGGATCATCTAAGTCATCGTCTTCGCTGCCATCCCAATCGCGTACTTCCGGGAGATTCGAGAAAAAATCTAGAAAGAGAATGAACACGATTAAGTTAACATTCATCCTAAATCCAACGGATGAAAACCCACCTGAAGATACGTCGTCTATCGACGCGGTCTTCTCGAGCGAGCCCACCCGGGTATCTGCTGCAGGGCTCATGAGAAGATGAATCATTATGATATGTTTTGAACCGACTGACCTTTATTCTTGCCCCTGCGCGTTCTAGCAGTCTCAAGGTCTTTGTCGCCCAAGCCTTTGGCTCCTTCACCTGGAAGGGAGAACGTAGAAATACCAGTAACGCCTTATACGGAGAGGCTGCAGCTTACCAATGGCAGCCATGTCTTCGCCGTCTTCATCGTGGTCTTCCTCATCGGGGCCATCAGCGCGGGCGTGGGTGTCTGCGTTAGCCTTGGCATTTGCGCTGTCGTCGGCGTTGGCGTTGGCGTTGGCATCCGCGTCTGCATCCGCGTCTGCATCGGCGTTGGCGTTGGTGTGGACGTGGACGTTGACATTATCGTCTGCGTCTGCGACCGCGGCTGCGTCTGCGTCTGCGACCGTGGCTTCGTCTCTGTCTGCGCGCGGAGAAGAGTCTGCCTTCTCCGATGAGCTTTTGCCTTCTGTAGCGTCATTAGCACCGAATAAAGATGTAGATAGTTCAACGACTTACTCGACTTCAAGGCACTCTTAGTGGTTTTCTCAGACACGTCGCGAACTCGGAAAAGTGCCTTCTTTCCGGTAGATATCACAAGCGGGACAGTACCTCGCCGTGTTTGATCTTCGAACTGGGCTTTGCGATCTGAAGTTGGTCACTTAAGCATGAAATGTACAAATATCAGAGCAGGTACGCACCATCATTCCAAGGACGCAAACATATAGTCCGCTTAGCCTCCATGTCCTTTCGTAATTCCTCCCTGTTAAACCGTACTAGGTTCTTCTCCGGAACCTTGGCCTCCGATTCGACCTCTGACGCGACCATTGGCAACCAGTGTTCGTACGCGGGCTTCATGTGCACGGCCATGTAGTCGTGCACGAGCAGCCATAAGAGCGCTGTTCCGAGCTTCTTTGGTTCAAAATCGTCAGCACCTACAGAGTAGTGGGCGAGGCAATGCGGCCAATAGTAAAGACTAAACCCGTAAATGACGCAATTGGGCAGGAATCGCTTCCATTGGACTTTCTCTCCAAACACGCCGACGGTATCTGTAAACGGGTGTTAACCTAATGACGAAGCAAACATATGACTCGAACGAAGACTTACGCAGTAGCTCATTGAACATTTTCCTTATGACGCTGCGGAGATAATCCCTCGCGGGGCGCTGCTGGACCGATTTGACAGGCTTCGACTTAAACGCGTTCGGCAGCGGGACGTCATTCTGGGGCTCGGTTCTGTCAATGCTAGCAACATCCTGTCAGTACATTTTTTCTCGAATCAAAAGCATGCATACGTGAGGACGGCCGCCATATACTCCACGATCCCTTGCACATTAACGCCTCGCTCGTTGAAGACGGACCTTGCGCGCTCTGAAGACGAGAAGATACCGGCTTGTCCACCTGGTTTGCCGTTGCCGCCCATGTGGATGACAACACCGATGACTTCGACGTTGCTCATATTGGCCGCAATCTGAGCCTGTACGACGACGTCGACAGGGAGAATGTGAACGATAGTTCAGCCAATAAAAAATGATGAACACTCACGAGGTTGGACAGTCGCATCCCTTCCCTCATCACGATCGTCCTCCCACGAGCAGAGCCTTTGCCCGTCGAGTCAGTGGCCGTGATCTCGCCGCACTTGACGCTATTCCAGTACTCCTCGACCAACCCAAATACTTTTTCGGCGCGCTCACGCCTGGTGACGGACTCGTCGTCCCACTCTTGCGAATTGAGGGCCTCCTTCAAGTTCCGGTAGCGCTCGTTGGCGAGCTTTCGCCATACTTCCAGATCATCTGTGAAGTGTCAGTAAGATGAATGGGCAGACAATCGCCAAAAGCTCACCTCGCGAAAGATCTTCTTGTGACTTTTGCCAACAGAGAAACTTGTTATAGATAGAAGTGTCCCTCTCGTGCGGGATCGTTATCCCCATAGCCTCCAGTACGGCTTCTTGAGGTTTGTGAAGCTGGCGAGCGCGTTCCTTGACACGCTTCATGAACTCGGAACCTTCTTCAGCGAGCTCGAGGGCGATAGCTCTAGGTATGGGGCCGGGGAGATGAGTTTGGTCACTCTCGTTTCCGCTCTCATGGCCATCGCCCTCGTCCTCGTTGACGCCCTCGGTGGGCTTGTCGGTACCGGTGACCTTGGAGGACGCGGGTCCCTTCTTGTTGCGTGCCTTGGGGGATCTCCGTCGCGGCACCGCATCGTCGTCACTGGCGGGGTCTTCGGTAGTGGGAACCATGGAGGACGCGGGGTGCTTCTTGGTACGGGTTTTGGTGGTTTCCCGTTGCGCCGCCGCATCGTCATCGTTGACACGGCCTTTGGTGGTGGAGGCCTTGGACGGCGCCTGTCGCTTCTTGCTCCGGGTTTCCGGGCCTTCCTCTCGCGTCGTCGTGTCGTCTTCCGAGTCGGAAGACCGAGGTTCAGGGGGTGGGTCTCTTTGCTGCATCTTGCGCTGACGGCGTGGCTTGATGGTCTTAGCACTTGTGCTTGGAGTCGGAGGAACATAGTCGTCAGAAGATTTGCCAGAACTCTCGCGCCATCCATCTGCCTTTGCGTCAGTACAAATGTAGTGTACAAATGAGAAACGTTCTCACCAGGTGAAGCGAGTGCATTGCGCGGAGAGGCGAGCCCCTCCTGCGTATCGGTTCGCATATCGACGTCGTTATCAGCGCCTACACTGTACATTAGGACGAACGTCCTCTTTATAGTGGCAGAAACGTACCGTCGGTGTGGGCTTTCCGTCTTCCTCTCGGCGCAAGCTCCGCTCTGCGTTCTGTATCTCGGACCGGGGAGTCATGACTGTTGTCTGCCATCACGGTTAGGCGTTGACAGACGCTTTGGATGTCATAAGGCCATACCTTCGGCTGTGGGTGCGCCGCCGTCGATGGACTTTGGAGGGAGCGTCTCCGTGGTCTGGTTGTCTATTTGTCGCTAGTGAGCTTGCTGAGGGCATAGATTCACGGGTGGATGACTTACTTTCGTTGTTTCCTTGCCTTAAGGCAAGTTGGGCCCTTCGCTCAGCGCCATCGGCTGACCAGTCGCTGTCATACTCGTTACCTACTCGAAATTAGCCTTAGACAACCGAGGGAGACTTCATGGCAATAAGGGCTTACCATCCGCCCCGAGCTGGGAGGTGGCCGCCGTAGTTTGGTTGTGTTCGCCTGCATACCGCTGCTTACATTTTACGCCCGTGGCTATCATAACGGAGAGACTCACCTTGATCAATGTCCATGTTGGTTGACTCGCGTTCGGAAGGGGGAATGATCGTGCCTGGGCATATGCAATTGAGTTTTGCGGGATCCAATAAGCCTGAGGTCAATGTTGGAGTGGATGGCCGGGTTGAAGGCCGGGAAGCTGGATGCAAGATGCTCTCAACGCGCGCATCCTGCCAATAGAAAAACGTCAAAAAATGGAACTGAGTATGTGGACGCAAAGCTTACGTCGGACATATCGACATCCATATCGACGCTCACTGGTGTATGATCCGGTGAGCGTCCATGAGGAGTGGCCATAGAGGGCCGGTTGCCTGCCTCTCCCGCCTCCTCGGCATCGCGACGTGCTATAGCCAGTTCCACTATTGAGTACGGGTTTCTCTTGGATGGTCTTTGCAGTGGAGCTTCAGACGGAGGAAGTTCGACGGTGCCTTGAGAGCGTAAGGCCCGGCCATGCGACGCCAGAGAGTCTGATTGGGCTGCTGGGTCGCTCGCTGACGGATTCGCAATCGAAACGTCATCGACCTCTATGCCGGCGCGAGCAGATGCTCGAGTCGTTCGAGTCGCTGAGGCCTTAGGTGGGGCAGATGGGTCGGTGGCTGAGATATCTGGTGCTGCTATGCGGCTGCGCGGAAGTGGTTTGACTGCAGAGGGAATGGGGGAATCCGAGGGAGATTGCGCCGTACGTGAGGGCGGGTTCCGTTTTGATCGCGACCGGCCCCCCGTCTTGCGAGCGGGAGAAGACGCAGATAGTTGGATGGCGTCCTTCTTGTTCTTCCGCTGGTCTACGGTCATAGGAAGAGCACGCTCAGCAGGGGTCTGCCTTGCAGCAGTCCTCCGAGGGCGCGGCGTAGATGCCATGAAGCGAAGCGCTGGCGGAGCCGATGGAGGGAGATAGGGTAGCCAGCGAGATAACGGGATAGCGTGACTGCGAAGGGCGGATCGACAAAAGCGATCCCGACGGCGCTCACTGCCAGATTTTTAACACGTAGTCAAAGTTCTGGACTTTTCGCGCTGACACGAAGTCTATACGCTGAAAAATTCGCGCTGACACGAAGTCGACACGCTGCGACACGGAGTCTGACCGGAGGAGGTACAGCGACAAAAATGGTTGCTCTGGATCGGCGGACGTTCAGTCAGAAGAGAGGGGGTAGTAGCAGAAGAGAGAACTTACTCGAGCTTGATGGGAATGGATCGGGGTGGGGTGGGGGGATCAACGAGAGTGGTGATGGCTGTTCTGGATCGAAGTGAGCTATAGGGTAGATTTGTGATGGGGTTTGTTTGCTCACCTGTCTACAACCAAAATCATTTTCATCCGAAAGAATGGATATCGACAATCACCTGTCGTCGGGCATATTGGCTAAGGAGAACACTGGAGAACATCTGTATGAATGTATGATGGTAAGTGCGCGGTATTGTAACATTCACCATAGGCCATAGATATCGTACGGATCCACACGTTCATGCGTCTATCGAGCGGGAGCGACGAGGAGCGACGGACGCGAAGCTCACAGGCGGGAGCAGGAAAGGCGGGAGCGGCAAAGTGGGAGTGTCTGAGGGCCTCTACATATCAGCGGACTCCAACGAATGACAGCTAGTTACGGTGTCATTCTGTCAACGTCTTGTGATAACGAAAATATACTTTACCTACCGCATACCGGGAACGCTCTCAACCATATTTACCACTATCCATCACGTTCGAGGAGATCCGCCGATGCCGCGAGAAGAGTGGAAACTCTCCAAGTTCCAGATTCCTACCAACTTCGTCGCTATCAGAGGCGCAGACATTGACGCTGTCTACCACAGGCAATGGATCTTTGATACACCCACCACACCCGACATGCACGATACCGGGGACCGTAAATCCGAGAAATGTCTTGTGCAGGTCTGGCGGTACCTGCGCGAGAAGGACGACTCAAAGATCCTTGGTTTTATCCCCATTCCCAAGGCGTATGCGCAGCACTGGTTCCAGCTTTTTTATACAATCGCGGTGGAGCAATGGGCCGTGAAGAAGTTCGACCGTTGGTACTCGGATATGCGGCAGGATAACCCTGGGCGCGATCGCGCGTACAGTGCAGTTCTCATGGTGAGCCTCGAGCTCACGTCCCACCTTGAAGCTCGCATCCGCATCATACAAGAGCTCCTTGCCCTTCCGGAAGGCTCCGACAACCTGCCTATTTTCGATGAACACCTCATCCGGGAGCGGTATGACGTGTCAAGCGTACCTTGGGAGGCCGTGGACGACGACACGATGCGGTATATGATCAAACGTCCTCTTGATCCAATCAATGCTCCTTACCTAGGTGAGCCCTTACACCTAGCCGCATTTAGAGTAAATAACTCACAAGAATAAGGCTGGGAGGATAGACCGTCGTGGACTATAGCCCCGCCGTTCGAATCGCAAGGGCGGTACTACTGGCAGTTTGGGCATGTGACTGGAGAGACTCATCGCGAGGCAGCGATTATCAGAGCGATCGCCGGCGCGTGGTCCTGGCTGGTGGAGGACCCCGACAGCGATTGGAAACATATCCGCGAGGGCCAATGGGAGGGCTGGAGCGATGTTCGGGGTGAGCCGATCTGGTTAGAGGACACGTGGATCTCGCGACTGCCGACGTTGGAGGAGCTCGGCATGACACTGCCCGAGTCGAGACTCTGGAAAGGGCGCGACATTAGCTATCCCAATTGGCGCGGTGACAACAGAAAGTTGGCAGCCGAAGCCGATAAAGCGTGGGCTCCTATCACGGACGAGGACGAGGACAAGACGTCGGCCGACTGGCGGGACTTTTTCCATTCTCCGTTCTGCGCCGACCCGCGGTACGGACCAAAGTACTGCAACCGATGCACTCTGCGGTTCGAGTCACAAAAGTGGATCGGGGAGGTCCCAATGTGCCGGGACTTCCGCGATTATCCGCATGCTCCGAGTTGTCGAGACCCGTCAGGTGGCCCTCGAGGTTGTGATAGATGTTGCCTCAGGTACCTTACGGGCCACTGGCAGGGCGAGTTCCCGAGCCCTCCTTCACCTATTCGCGAAATTCAAAGGGCGCATTTCCCGCGGAAGACCTCACCGGAGGTCGAGATGAAACCGACGATGAGGAGGGTACACGACGTTGTCGGTCATTTAGATTCAGGTGAAAGTGCCATTGAAGACGAAACCGACGAGGAAATAGAGGCCAACTTCATCGGCAGAGGCAAGCGGAACGATGATGGAGATGAGAAGGAGGAGCACAATGACGGTGATGGCGAGGTGCATAACGGCAGTGAGGGCAAGAGGGGGTACAATGGCAGTGAGGGCGAGGAGAACAAAAGCGATGATGGCGAGGGGGAGCACAATGACAGTGAGGGCGAGGAGGGGCATTATGACGGTGATGGCGAGGAGGAGCACTACGACAGTGATGACGAGGAGAGGAGGGGGAGGAAGAGAAGACGTTGCTAGAAGGTGGCGAGTAGCACATGTAAGGTCGGATGGCGAATAGCATATTTGAGGACGGTGATGGTCTTCTGACAAGATGGATGATGAATACGAGCATAAAGAGACTTGAGGACGGTCACGGTGGTGGCGGAGAGGAGGAGCACTACGACAGTGATGACGAGGAGAGGAGGGGGAGGAAGTGAAGACGTTGCTAGAAGGTGGCGAGTAGCACATGTAAGGTCGGATGGCGAATAGCATATTTGAGGACGGTGACGGTCTGACAAGATGGATGATGAATACGAGCATAAAGAGACCCGAGATCGGAGGACTTGGAGGTAATGACGACAAATGAACGCCGGTCGTAGATAACGCTCCTAGTATTCGTTATCGGACGGCGGCGACGAACGCCCGTTCGTGAGCGAACAATGAACTGGACCAAGACAAGGACAAACGAGAAAGGCGGACCTAATGAAGGTAGATTAACGCGAGTGCGTCGCAAAGCATCCAATCACCTACCAAGTGTATATTCTAGAGAGGCAAGAGACAAAAGGGAGCGGAGACGCATTCTGCGCGACAACATAGAATCCGGCAGGGTCCGTCTCGATAACCTTGAACTCCATCGTCCGTATGCCACCGTGGACGTGGAATGTATCGCCTTGTACCACCAAAGAGTTAAGAACCCCATGGGTGAGGGCAGACCTAACAAAGAAGCATCAGCACGAGCGCAACGCAAACCTAGAGAATGTGCATACCTTCAAGTAAGTACGACTTGAGGCGGATATCGAAGATATTGCCGCTGAGACCCTCGAACGATTCGTAGAACGGCATGATGGGAGTAAGGTCTCGATAACCTTGAACTCCATCGTCCGTATGCCACCGTGGACGTGGAATGTATCGCCTTTGCCCACTGAATAGTCTGCCGCATCCGACCTTTAGTTTCGGTACGCTCATTCAGCTAGAGAATGCGCATACCTTCAGGTAAGTACGACTTGAGGCGGATATCGAAGATATTGCCGCTGAGACCCTCGAACGATTCGTAGAAGGGCATGATGGGAGTAAGCTTCCCGTACTCCATGTCGAGGCGCTTACGCTGATGAGGCCGCCGAGCATGACGCGGAGGTTGTTGTGCGCGGCCTTGTTCATCTGGGTGACTTTGTTCGGCGTCGACAGAACTCAAGCAGATAGGGCCAGTGTGTCTCCGCTATTTTTGCCTATTCGCTATATGTAAATTTATGGAAGAAGGATTTTGGCACGACGACGTACTTCACGACGATGGAGTACCACCAAAGAGCCGAGTCCCCCTGGGCGAAATAAGACAGCCAAGAGAACTAGGATACGCCAGCAGCAAGACTACAAGTTTAAACGATGGGAGACCCAACAGCAGAGCGTCAGTACGACCCAAGATCAAACAGTTATGTACATACCCATTGCGCCATCCAGGGAAATATGAGGGTCGTTGATGTTCAGAATATTCGTGGAGATAGAGAGTTGCGAGAAACGAAGACCTAGTCATTTCATTGGAGATCAATACCAGTGCACCTTAAATCATCGAATCACGTACCAATCGCGGCTTCCAGATACAAGAAATCAAAACGAGCGGGGATACGTTGATGGCAGGACTACAGCTTGCCATAGCGGAGGACCTAACATCGGAGCAGCAACATAATTCCAGTTTTAATCAACCACGTACATACCCGGTGTGCCATCTAGGGAGATTTGGATGCCGTTGACGTTGAGTGACCAAAGGTTAAGCGAGGCAGGAGACAAGTTCCAAGGACGGTGTCGGAGGGAAAGATAGAGACTGCAGCGTGTTGTGCAGCGCACCACGTCACCTTGAACGCGCATGGGGTGGTTCCTATGTGTACACCGGCCATGCTCGCGGCGACCAGACCAAAGTCTGCACGCATGCACCAGCGGGGCGAGATGCCTGGTCGCTGCTGCGGTGGCATATAGCCTGGCCGCAGGTGTGGCGGCGCGTAGCCTCACCACACATATGGATGGAACGGAAACAGATGACGGAGGGATGGGTGGCGGCCACAACCGCGACACGAAGTGCGATCATGTTTTATCAGCGACGGCCGAAGCCTGATCACTGAGTGCGATGGCACGAAGCCTGGTCGCACATTACGGTGGCACGAAGCCTGGCCGCGAGGAGAGGGAGGCGAAAGGATAGATTGAAGTAGTGGATGTGCTTACCTTTGACCCCGTGTCCTACGCCTTGCCTGCTGCGACGACCCTGACTTGATGAGAGAGAAGAGAGAAAAAGGTACGAGCGCAAATAAACACAAAGCGATCAACGATAAACAAGTTTGAGTCTCAGCTCAAACATTGAGTCTCAGATCAAATATTGAATCGGAGCTTTAATTGCCACACACCTTTGGGCGAATTTGCTTCCGTCTTTATATCTCCGCCTCAACGCTACTCCGATACTGAATTCGACCACACTCGGACCGATGTACCGATGGCTAAACAAGGATCACTGTGGCCCCACAAGTAAGCAGCATTCAGACTCCTCTCGAAAGGCCGCACATTCGCAGGCGCGCTCAACCCTTACCCTACTCGACGACTTCCATCTCCTGGCCGCTCTTCGGACCTCAACCTCTGGCTTCAAGGTCCTCCACGGCTTCAATGTCAACAGCGGCTACGAACTCCTCAAGACCAGGCTAGGTGTAGGGCAAAGGGGCGGGGTGTGCAACGAAGGGCAAGGTTTCGGGTGATGGGCAAGGTGTCGGCTGAAGGGCAAGGTGTCGGACAAAAACGCAAAGGTACGCACATCCAGTATCTCTCGTCGCGGCCAGGCTTCGTGCCACCGTAATGTGCGACCAGGCTTCGTGCCATCGCACTCAGTGATCAGGCTTCGGCCGTCGCTGATAAAACATGATCGCACTTCGTGTCGCGGTTGTGGCCGCCACCCATCCCTCCGTCATCTGTTTCCGTTCCATCCATATGTGTGGTGAGGCTACGCGCCGCCACACCTGCGGCCAGGCTATATGCCACCGCAGCAGCGACCAGGCATCTCGCCCCGCTGGTGCATGTGTGCAGACTTTGGTCTGGTCGCCGCGAGCATGGCCGGTGTACACATAGGAACCACCCCATGCGCGTTCAAGGTGACGTGGTGCGCTGCACAACACGCTGCAGTCTCTATCTTTCCATCCGACATCGCGCTTCTATCTCTTCGTTCCTTTACATTTTTTCCCGCTTACTGCTTTATCTTTCTACGTTCGCCCCGATCTTCGTCTTTTGCCATTCTCCTCTCTTTCCTGTTCTTCCTGTCTTCCGAATTGCACAGATCCGCCACCGTTCGGACTTCAAACCTCCGCGTCTGCGATGGATGGCGTCCGTTGTCACGTCTGGTAAGGGATTTATTTGAGATCTATTCGACGCCACCTAGCTAACGTACGAAACTATCAGGGGACTATATACTTACTCCTCGTGCCTGTACTCCCTTGAGTTGTATGTGACTATGGTAAGTCAACTATTTTGACTTCGTTTTGATTCGTTCAATGATCTATGGTATCGCTATAGACCTCACCGGTGCTGTGGCTTCATGACGGTGTTTTTGCCAAACACGATGTTATGGACGTCTTCCTGACGCGCAAACACGCGCTTAATGCCGGGTTAGATATTGCTCTGCGACATCCCCGTTCACGCATTGACGCCATGTTTTTTTCAGCTTTCCCTAATCCAGACAATGGAATACACGCTTCCCTTCAAGTTCGACTCCGCCACCAAGTTCAACAAGCTCGCTTGGAAACCGTTTCGCCGTCAATCCTCTGGTATGTTTCGCGGTGATCCTCTCATTCAGATGCTTACTGGTATTACAGAGGACTGGAACTGGTTCGATGCTCGTGTCCTTGCGGAAGGAAGTCACGGCGTCATGATCACGTCTCCTAACGCTGATTACGTGCCCATGTACCGAACTCAGCCCGAACCGCTCCGTGCGAAGGAGGACGGTAACTTTGGTCTCAACGATCCCTTCCACATCCCAACAATGTACTGTCTTGAGCTCCCCTGGGCTGCTCTATACCCCAGACGCGCGTATTGGCTGGACAAGGAGCTGGGCGCCTTATGGTGGAGACTTACCGAAGATGACATCGATGGCGAGTTGCATGGGGAGGATAAGGTCGGACGGCTCAAGCCTGAAGGACTTGCCAGGCTAGATTCCCTCATCTTCGGCCCCATCCAAGATATCAAGGATCGCCTGCTCCGTCATCAGCGCGACAAGGGTTCCCCGGGTCGCGAGGAGGATGGGAAGTGGGCCAGATTTGTTTTCGAGCGTCTCACCACGGAGTGGCACACCTTTCGTTTGAAGTCCGACAATCTCCGGGGATTCGTACAGCGCCTGGGCGACGTTCGTCGCGCGTGCATGGACCTTTGGGCGTTTTGCGAGTACCGTCTCTGCGTTCAGAATGCCGGAGTGCACGGCCCGCCCTGCACAGACGCAGTGCGGGACGACGGCATCATCAAAGCTTCTCCGCGGTACATAGGTGCCTTTACCACCCGCCCTGATACCCTCAAGCGCCTCTATCAAGCAGGCGTGCCCGTTTGGTACCCACGTTCTAACGACTCTATCTCTCCAACAACGAACCAGCTTCAACTCGTCACCATGGACTCGGCCGGGTGGGTCATTTGCGGCTCGCCTCATCGGAATGGTGAAAGGGCGCCGTACGATGTCATCGTCGACTGGGTCTTGCATCCATCCAGGTTGTGGATGGCTCGCTACGGCTACGGGTTCTCCTCCGAAAGCAGCCCGAACCCTTTCAAGGGAAGAGTCGGGATTCCGACTTCTCCTGAGCCCCAGCAATCGCACGCCGGCGCTGTTCGTCGGGATCGTGCGCCACAGCATAATGTCAAGTTTTGTACGTGTCGTATACTTAATCTTCAGTCTTTTTTTCTTTCTTTTTTACTTACATCGTACTAGATGCGCGCGCCTCGAAGGGCAAAGGCAAATCCAAGGAGCCCCTGACATCGCAGGAGTTCAAGGCTAGGACCTACGAAGTCGACGACCCAAAGAATCTCGCCTTTCCGCCTATGTTCCCCTTCTGGTATCGTGCGTTGGGAAGGGCCAACAAGAGCGTCCCACCTCCCGACCAAATCTCTCCCGGGATGGATGGATGGCGCTTCCCGAATCCCAACCTGTTCGTGAACACGACCAACGTCGTCAACTTTCTTTTCAACTGGCTGGTCATGCGACAGCCTTGGCTTCAGCACGTTCGCGACACGACGTGCTACTATCCTCCGAGCGCGCAGGCTTGGCGGGACATGTTGGGTGGCCACCTGTGGGACTTCAACCCTGAAAACGTCTTCACCACCACGACTCAGAAGCGCCTCCTCGGATTCCATACCTTCGAGTTCATCATCCCACAGCTTCGGGAGCTTAAGGCAGCCGCCGAACAGTCGGGCACATGCTGTTTGCGTGGTGCAACCATCCCGCTTAGCAAGCTTGACGAGAAGGAGGTTCTCCAATGGGTGCTCTGGGATCTTCACGACATCAGCTTTGCCGCCGACTTCCTGGTGCTCGACGAGGCGATGGCGGCGGACGAGTGGACCAAAGATAGAGACGGTCGCAGGGCCGCATGCCTTAACGCTTTTCCCTACGCGCCACCAGTGGCTGACGCTCGGCCGGAAGCCTACTTGTTGTTCGGTTGCCCGGCTGCTGCAGCCGGCATCGTCACGGATAGGCTTCGCGCTTTGATGGCGTCATGGCCGGACCCGTCGTTGAGGTTGTCCAGACCATTACCTGAGGCCGTCATCGGCGGTGGCGACGCACAAACGCTTGCCGCCTACTACGCCGAGTTGACGGAACTGTACGTCCTCAAATTTCGCAAGCGGTTCAATCGTCGCCCGGTGCTCCCTCACATGGTCCCGGATGCGCGCTGGATTACAGAGTTTGCCCAGCAGGACGTCGGTCAGTCGACGGAAGCAGCGAAGTGATCTTTGGACGGTCGGGCCTTGGCAGTTGAAGGGTTTTTGGTGGCATTCCTCGTCTTCGTCATTTTGTTTTTGCATTGCGTATTTTTTGCATTTTTTTTTCTTCGTTTCTTTCTGCTCGTGTTTGCAACATCGGACCTCATGCTCATGTACTATACATTGGACTGACATACTAATGTCATTTTGCGCCATGTGTTTCATCCAGTTTCTGCCGCGACCGATGCCTAAGTCCCACGAGAAAGCGAACTCATCTACGACCGGCTCGGATCCCTCAACGTCTGGCTCTAGGAAACGGTTGGTACCTGTCGGACCGAAGCGCACTTCACGCAAGAAGGGTGGGGGGGATGATGTTTTAATCTTTGGACCAGGTATGCAATCACAATCAGTAGGACTATGCTAATGATGAACATAGGTCGGCAGGTATACCGACAGCTTCCACCCACTACCCCTCGCCGAGCGCCCCCCGCCGTTCGTCCCTCTATCCGCTTAGATGCATCTGATATGGCTGGGTCCAGTCAAGGCCTCTCCACAGCTGGTGTACCCTCAGAAGAATGCGTGGACGACACGCCTCTTATCACGGTATCACCGTCACCACGCTCTCATACGCCGGTGCCCTCTGGAAACGACTGGATTCCGGCCATGACCCCGGAAGACGGGCTTCACAACTCACCCCCATCTTCACCGTTGCTGCAGCCGTCTTCCTCCGTACCTCAAGACAAGTCCTATCCGACGGTAGCTCAATCCGATCCTGCGTTGTTCGTCCTATCCTCCGACCCACCTACAGCCCGAAGGCGTTGGACTTCCTCTCGTCAAAAGCGTGCAAATCAATGGCGAACGTGGTCGGACAAAGTTTTACCAGATCTCATCCGCCCATACCTCGCTTACCTCAAAGCATCGAACCACTTTCACCGCAGCGCTGACATAACGAGATTGACTGCCGCTCGCTCTTGCTCGGCCAATTGCCATGGCTTCCGCCGACGGGTGGAAGTCACTTGTGTCTTATTCGACCGTGAGTGACATCTCTATCATGTATAAAGCGCAAACTCAGTGTTTCTTCGCAGGTTTGGAGCCTAATGTAACGATTGAATCGTGTTCATGCACGCCAGTACCCGTCCGTCTGGTCAATGCGGGCTTCTTTCCGTGTGCACCGACCGAGCCGTCCCTCGCCGTCGACATGCGGCTGTTGCAGTTCATCACCATGCTGTCTGTGCGCACACCACCGAACGTCTCCGCCTGGTCAGACACTCTTGAGAGCTTCTTACTCAATATGGGACATAAATTAGAAGGAAAGGTACGCCTACTACACATGCATATATGGATCCGTCACTCAGATATCGCGACGGCAGGGCAATCTTCGTCGGCGTTTCCAGCGTGCATTTCATTGGTATCGGGTACTTGTGCGACAATCTGACGAGTTCATGCAAAGTCTTCTCGTCAAACTTACGCCCCCTCGAAAGGATCAACCCACCCAATATCTCCGCGAACGGTGCCCGCTATGTTTCGGAGGGAATGATTGGAGGCGAGGAAGGCGTCAGGAGATGGGGTATGGCTAATGCTCTATTTTGATATTGACATCACTAATCGCAGTTGATTAGTCCCGACGTCATCGTGTGTATTGACGCATGCTTTACCCAGAAGCGCTCGAACGGACACCGGCTATCAGACGATAGAGACCCTCCAAATCCGACAAAGACTGTATTCCTTTCTGAAGAGATGGTAGCCGACGCGGAGCGCATGGTCAACAACAAGCGTCCCCCGCGAACAAGAAAGCGACAAGCACCATCGTCACAGGACGAGGACGTGATCGAGGATGGAATGCGTATCCCATCCTCCGTTTTAGATGGGTGCGGTGAAAGCTTCATTGCAGCGGATGAAAAGCGTTCAAAGGCAAGCACTCAATTTTTCTCCGACACCGGACTGATGGCTCTTTTGTGCCGCCATGATCAAGTTCTCTGGCTCGTCAACATGACGTCCTCCGGCGAAAAGCAACACTACGCTCTCGCTCTGATTATAGAGCTGTTCAACCACCTTCCTGCCGATATGAACGTTGGACTCCTGTACGACATCGGTTGCCAGCTTGAGCGAAGTTGTCGCAACTTCTCCTTCATTCCTGAACTTCTCCCGCGGATAGTGTTCGCCATCTCTGTCTTTCACGCGTATGGACATCAGTGGCCCTGCCAGATCGTTTATCATCCATGGAAGTGCCCAGGATTCGGCTTCTCCGATGGCGAAGGCTGTGAACGCCTTTGGAGCGCACTCAAGTTGCTTATTCCCTCATTGCGGGTATCTGGGGTAAGAGTTCGTCTTCCGGTGTGTCGCTGCATGACGTCCTGATCCAATTACAGTTTTACCAGCGGCTGTTCGCGCTGGATGTTCACGTAAGCTATTTGGACGTCAAGTCCCTCGAAAATATCGGCCATTGGCTCCAGCGCAGATGGAAGTCCGCTCAGCAGCGACTCTCGGAAGCCTCACGTGGCTTGCGCGCCACTGGTGTTGCCGAAACGGTGTTGCGGGTTCAATGGCGGGATCAAGTTATTGCGCAGACGCGCCCTTTGCCAAGTACGTTCGTTCATATCATCCCTCGAAATATCGGCTGACATTTATGCAGGGCAGTCGTCAGGTAGGGCTGAGGAAGACGTCCTTCGTATTATCGAACTCGAAAAGACGTACGAAAAAGCGCGAGAAACCCTGCTCTCGTCCGAGGCACAACTGGCATCTGGGGGGGCCGTACACCTGATCGACACAACACTAAATCTCGAGGAAGAACGTGCGCGATGCGGGCGCCTCAAGCACTCTCTCTCAAAGCTCAAGGCGGCTCTCGGCTTAGAAGGCCGGCGGAAACTAGGCGACATGCGTCGCAACAAGTACTTACATACGCGGATGAAGGCACTGGCGCTCAAAACCAGAATTCGAGACAAGCTTCGCCATCGCAAGTTTGAGCTCTCCAAACTGGAGCGAGCATATCGTCAAACGTTAAACGGTAGGACGTACATCAACTCTCGTATTTTTGTCTAACGCACGCGGTTTCAGAGCAACGTCTCCACGATCATACAGCTCAGTCTGTCAAACGGAAGGAGCCCTCCATTGCGCAGCTGGTCAAACGCTATAACGACCTCGTCATCAAACTCAAGAAAATCAAGGACGATGACCGGTCGCTCTCTCATGTGGTCGTCCCCCACTTCATCAACTCCGAGGGAATATTTGCACTCGATGTCGACGACAACATATGGGAGGACGTGGGGCTTCATGAGGGCGAAGCTAATCCTCCCGCCTGGCTCGGCAACGAGAAGGTTCGGGAGGGGATCCGTCACATGCTGGCTTACGACCGAAGCGTCGAGGAAGTTGCGAGGTTGTCCAACGAGCGCGCTCGCTTGCAAGAGTGGACGCTTGTGACTTGGTCTGCGTTGAAGCAGCTGGCAACTACTTCAGGTTCGTGGTCGTACTCGTTCAATTTATTGTTGTTGAGCTGACCGCCGAAGATGAGGTCCTGAAATTTCACGCGCAAACGCGTTTAGGAGAACTCGCGGGGTTAGTGTCTTCGTGGCAGCGTGAGACGTCCATTATCACACTGACATGGGTCGTAGGAGATTCGTGGGGTCCCTCGGAATTGACGCTCTCAAATGCACGTGTCAAATTACAGGCTTCATCAGCCTCGGTAGCAAAGCCGCCAAACCATGAAAACGAAGATTCAGATGGGTCGTCAAGTGCGGGGTCTGAACAGGGTCTGGAGGAATTGGTAGACGAGCTTGAAGACGTCGCGCTCGCCGATGAGTACCGACACGTTGATGACGTTGATGATTGTTTGGTGGATTCAGATAGTGATACATCAATAGCCTCACTTAGTATGACACCGTCCAAGAGGGCTCGTAATTAATTATAGTAGTGATATGTAAATAGGACACTGCGCAGTCATCAGCAACTTTACACTTTACTGGTTGGACTCGTGGGCTTGCTTCGGCTTTCTATCTGGCCACAAGTTTTTTCTTTCGATTATATGATCCGTTTAATTACTTAATAAACATATTTTATGTGACAACGGTTGGGCAAATGTAGAGGAGATGTAGAAGTGGGTTGGGCTCTAAAAATCAAAAGAAATTTTGAGGCATTGTATGCAAGTGTGGTACATGCCAGTGCAATATGTCAGTCTATGGGTGAGGTGTTGCTCATGGCCCTTGTTCCTTGTAAGCACCATTGGGTTCGACATATGTGTCAGTAATCTTGTTGTTATGAGACAATATAATCTAAGTGCTTGTCTGTGGGCAGTACCTGAAAACTGAGGTTTGGTCCATGGGCATACTGATGTGTTAGTTATGATGGACCATGGCCATTGTTTTATGACTTGCTACTGCCCATGGACAGAGTGAATATGGTCTGCCCATGGTTAATTTGGCAGTTTTACTGGATGTCCCATGGGCAAACTGACATAGATTACAGATGATGGATGGGTAATGTGTATTGCCCATGGGCAAGGTAGGGATTGCCCATAGACTACTTTGCTGATGTTGGCCCATAGATAAAAATCTGGTAATTCATTGTCCCATGGGCAAACTTTCCACAAGAATT